CTGAGAAGCAAGCCCAAAAAAATTTCTTGCGCTTTAAAAGGTGTATGCGGCAAAGAGTTGTAGGGTTCTCTTCCGAGAAAAAAAGTTTGAAAACTAAGAGATAAAATTTGACCTAGAATAGGTAATGAGATTTGGTAGAAAGTATAGGGTTTAGACCTCGTTATATGCTAAAAATTAGCTCTTATAGCTGGTAACTCTAAAGTTCCGAAATAATTGAGCATTTTGCGGAGTGGACCCAGGTACCACTTCGAATTTTTTGGTAAAAATACTAATTTAAGTATCTGCGATGATCTATAAAAGGGTGAAGAGATAATGCGAGAGTTTACTTGTCGGTAAACTCTCGAGTACAATTAAAAACAGTGGCTTTAAGCTTTGTAAGTTTATCTGGTGGGAACTTTTTTTTTAGAAAAAAATGGGTGTTCATAAAAATTTTATATTTCCCTATAAGCTTATACCCTCAAAATAGTCACACCCACAATTACAAAAATACGTGCTCCGATTTTTCAAGTTCAGAAACTTCTTAGATATTCACCTCAAAAACACCTTCAATGATGCGCACAGCAAGGAACATCTCCAAGCTATGCTTAGCGGCCAAGGGTGTTAGCAGCGTCAATAGCGCCGTGGTACCGATACCTAAGCCAAATACCTAAAAGAAACATAAATAAAAATAAATATGCGATTACTCAAATTCATGGCAACAGAAACTCAAGAGCGCATGCGCATTCACTCACAATGTTGCCACCAATTTTGGCGCCAATAAAACCGCCAATAAACTGTGTTGTTATGTAACCATAGAAGAATGAACTCAATATCAGACCTCTCTGCTTCGAGTCCCAAGGAAAATCTTGTTCATACGAAATATTGCCAGCATCATCGATTACTGTGCGATTCTCAGTCATTGCCACAATCGCCACACTGAGGTTAACACGCAGCGAGTAAACATTGAAGAATCCGAGGAATGCCAAGAAGACGACAACATAGCGACGTTTTTTCCAAAATTTCCATGACAGTGGTACAGCTTCGACTATTTCATTGCTGTTGGTATATAAGGATAGTGAGATAATTAATTTATAAATTAGTAATTTAATTCATGAGATATTCCATTTTGCCAGATAAAACATATTTTTCTCTAAGCTCCATAAGATATTGTAGCCAAGTAATTGAGTGAAGTATTCATAAGTACTCAATAAGTCATACTCAATTAGTAATTAAGTTTTTTCATTGCTAACTTTCTATAATACTTCTTTATCACTATATGCAAAAAAAATTTTAGTCAACACAATTAAGCAGCAAATTGAGTCGTGTCGTTTGTTATTCACACCGACTCAATTAAATCCACTCAATTGGCCCTTAAACGAATTTTCGGCAATCTTGTCATCTTTAATCTTGTTTATTCTTTTCTACACTTGAAAGATTTTTATTTATTTTATCTGAAGCAATTACGTTCGCAACTAAAAAGTTGATATAGTGGTAATTACCGTCGAAATTTAATTGATTCAATTAACGTCTAAATTTAATCACTATTATTGCCATACCCTTTTTATTTGATTTTTCGTTGTTGATATTTTAACTGAAACCAAAGTCAATATAATTATATTATTGACCCAGTAATGGCAATTAGTAGATTTCCCTATCGTATGGTAAATTGAAAACATTTTAAGTAAAATTACACAAATTCTCTCATATAATTACTCAATATAAGCCAGATATATGTTTTTGAAAAGCATTTGAAAATATTAAGCGAAAGCGATCGCTATGAAGTTTTACTTCCTCGAGAAGCTACATATACCATGTGAGGAAATTTGACTCGATCATCGGAAACTGGCCTTATGTTGACGTCAGAGTGATAGCAGAGGTTCTCAACATTGGTCATGGATCGACTCAACGCAATTTGGTGGATGTTTTGGGTATGAAACATTTCAATGGTAGACTCGTACCAAAAGAGCTGGACTTTTTTCAAAAACTAGTTCGAGTAGAGGTCGCTAAAGCTGAGGATATCTATGGTAGATATTTCATTTAACCAGAATATTTTTTGGATTTATTATAAATGAGTAATTTTGGAGAACGTTTTCTTAATTAATAGCTAAGTTTTGGTTAGACAAATTCCTAACTAACTCTTTATCCAAAATTATTAATGTAAACTTATGTTTTTTTTTTTACAAAATTTGTTCAAACCCATTTATAAAACAGCTGAATGAACGAATGACTTTATAAATAAAATGCTACAATTTGTTTGCCAGCGATTTTGTGGTATATCGTTGAAGTGTTGTGGGTGGCGCACATACCAAACCATCATGTTTGATCAGCTGCAACGGCATTCAAGGCCGTCCGCATGCCACACGCCTTCGAATTATACTCTACTATTACCGATTAATGCCTGCGAAACATACAAATTACTGGGCTTAAATCAACAGTTCTACTTGCTGATCTATTTTGTCTAACTTTCGCTTTCGCCAAGACAACAATGAGTTGCTCAGTTATGTTTACCCACTTTGGCGGCAAGTTTAATGAACGGGTGAATGGGAAACTGTTAGCGCATTGTTATCATTGTTGCTGCTTTTGCGCGGTTAAGCAACTGGTTTTCATTGATTTGTTTTTAGTAAGACTGTTTATATATATATGTACTTATGTAAATATGCATAAATGCTCTATATATAGAACTTACATATCTACAGGTGTTGTTAATTAAAAATATTACATTTATATATTATTTATATGTATATACATATGTAGTTTATACTCGTAAGCAATTTGAAATTGTTTGTTGGAGGCAAATATTTCTTTTGTATGGCTCAACTGTTCTTTTTGCAGTTGAGGCTGCACAGTGGTACCTATTATGCAAAGAATGTCTAAAAAAAATTCCATTTGATCGATTCTGTAGTTGTTATTTGTAAAAATAAAAATGTTCTTTGAAGAGCTCATAATGAAATTTTTGGAGGGTTGCCAACTGTTTAAGAAAAAAATTTCTATCATAAATATTTTTTATCGATATTGTAACGATTTTTTTATAAAATTCAAATTTTTTTTTTTGTAAAAATTCGATTGAAATTTTTTATGGGTTACCAGCTGTTTGCAATTTTGTTTCAATAAAATTGTTAAGATGAACGTACTGTTACAACATAATTACCAAATGGGGAGGTTTAGATACGTTTATAGTTGAGATTGGTTTTTTGAACTTCTTGTTATTTTAAATAACCCACATTAAAATTTTTAGAGTGTTGCCAACTGTTTCAAAAAACATTAAAAAAAATTCTACTTAATCGATCTTGTAACGATTCTTTTTATAAAATTATAATTATTTTTTGGAAACTCTCATTGGAATTTGTTATGAGTTGCCACCTGTTTGCAATTGTAATTTAATAAAACTATTTAGATGAACATGTTACAACATAAGCAACCAAATGGAGAGTTTTTAAAGGGTTTATAATTGAGATTGTTTATTTGAAAAGTGTTGCCACTTGTTTCAAATTTTGTATTAAATAAAATTCATGAAATATTTTTATTATTATTATTAGCATTTATTAAGTAAAGATGTTTTAGAACGTCTGAAAAGAAAAGTACTTTTGAAGGCGTGTCCAACTTTCCAAAATTTTATATTTAACTATAGTTATTGTATATTAGATTCAGAGAAATATTTGCATATTTGAACAATTACGTTGGGTAAATTAATACAATTTTGTAGTAAGACCATAAAAAATTATTTGAGAAATTTGTCATTTTAAAGATTAATATATGTACGTATACATAAAAATTTTTTAATATTTAGTTAGTTTGGAAGAACAAGAAGAGATTAGATTGACAGAAACCATTTATCATTAAGCTATCCGGAACTATCTGACATTTGTTTGACAAAAGCCATCACTTACAGATTTTTTATAAACTTTTTAATCGATCCACTGTACCCAGCAATGTATTCGTATCAATATTTGCTAGTTCATACAAGTATAAGTATGTATACCTATGTACTTATTATCTTGCGGTTTATACATTAGACATGCGGAACATTCGTCTATTCAGAAGGCGTACTGAAGTGAATTGATTTACTGGTCAAACAACTTTTTTTCGAAGCGGAGAGTTAATGACGAAGTGGCGGAATTCAAATATGCAGATATTAAGTAATAATAAAATGTTTACGAGCGTACGCAAAAGAAAATGAAAAATGAACAAATTTAGCTACAAAAAAAAAATATAAACATACTTATATATTAATATATATATATTTATATATAATCGGTTAATCGATAATTTGAGTTTCTTGCGGCTGACTAAGATTACTGTACATAAGAATATTACATTTGCTGGCTTGACTTACGGATCATGGTGCGCAATCTCCATTTTATGTCCATTGAATTTTTCGCTTTTTACAACGTCCTCCATTGCGGTTTAGTGGCTTACGATTTATTTATTGCACAAGTATGGTTGAGTTTATAATT